CGTTTGGGAGCATTGGTAACTTCTTTGTGCTTTTAAAACCCAGAAGACACATCCCTCTCAGGGGCGCAGTGAGGGAGGGCAGCCCCAGACCAGGCTGCTTGACAGCCCCCGCATCCCTGCGCGTTTTGGCCGCACGTCCTGCTGGCGATGCTTACAAACTGGTTTTGGCTCTGCCAAAATGCAGCCAGGGAAATTCAGCCTACGCCATTTGCTTGGCACGAAGGGGCAGCGCTAAAGCTACACCGGCATGCCGACACCAGGGCTGCGCGCTGCTTTTTCATGAGGTTAGAAGTCTTGGGCACTTGGCTGGACTTATTTCTGGCTAGTAGTGAAGTGCAAAATCAAGCTGTGATAATACAGCTTGATTGACATCGAGTGCGGGTGCTTGCTCCACGGGAGCGACTGGGGGGACCCCAAGGAGTCCTGTTCTGAGATTTTAAAATTGTGGTGAAGAAAATGCTTCACAGAGGAGTGGAAGTGGCTAAAATACAGTATAAAACTGCATAAAGGGAGATAATTTTTGAAGCTTTTATTGGAGTGATACTGCCATGAAGCTGTGGTAAAATGACACAGGTTTTACAATAACACTGTCACTAAAATGGGGGGGATGGAAAATGGAAACCACCTGTCTGTAGGGGGGGCCCTTAGCTATCTTCTGTCTGAAAGTGGAGTTATTGAACCACCAGAGAAAGAAACATAAGGAGGGGAATATTCAGCCCTGTTTGGCGAGAGGTGGTTGATACCTGCTCCGATCCATACCCAGATGTTTCCAGCTGCCAAAAGCAAGGTAGCTGCAGCAACTGCCCAGAGCTTGCGAATACTCTAAAAATAAGAATTTTGAAGAAATGGGACAGATGCGATTTTCTTTAGAGGCTGATGCTGATGCTGATGCTGATGCTGTCAGGGGCTGCTGGCAGTCGGGGAACGCAAGCGATGACTAAGGGGGCAGAACCCGTTCTGCAGGCAAAGGGGTTAGCAGGGTGGGGAACACGTCTGCTCGCAGCATGGCAGGGCTCAGAGAAAAAGCACTGGCTTCGTCACTCCAACAGGAACGAGACGGGGTGAGCAGCTCCAGCATCCCGGAGCCCATTTCCCAGGGCTTGTCCGTGTGTCCTCTTCTAGCAGCAGCTGCAATGGGGTTCCCGTCCCCTGCCTGCTCCTCCGCAGCTGCCTGGCGGTCTGCTGCCAGACCTTCATTAAGCCCTCAGAGCTGACAGCCGTCGCTCATGGGAGTGCTGCCTGGATGTGTGCTGTCAAAACGAGCTGGGCTGCCAGGAACCTGCTTTTTAAGCGCTTAAACCTACCCTAGCTCATTACGGTTGGATGGGGTGAGGGAGCGCTGTCCCAAGCCGCTCGAGGGGCAGACGGGGGGGCACTAACATCTACCAAGGGCTGATGGTGTACCCGAGAAGCAGTTGGGAATCAGTAAGGTCCCGCCTCAGCTGCAGCCACAAAGGGTGTGTGAAAAGTCTCCTACGGGCAGGCTACCGCCCCCCGAGAGTCGTTCAAGTGGGAAAAGCAGTCAGGAGTGGAAAGGAGAGGGAAAAAGCGGCTGAGTGGCCCCAAAAAGGCAGACCGTATTTCTGCCCCGGCCTCCGGTTTTGAGTCCTCTCCTGGTGTTTAATGTTGCCACCTGCAAAAGAGAGTGAGAGAGAGTAAAACTCTCCCACTCTACCCTGTAGCTGAGGAGACAGAGCAGACACTTGATGGAGCTCGAGTCAAATTTCCGTCAGATCTTTTGCTGATGCAGGCCTCGGCTGCAGAGGCTGTGGCGAGGCTTTGCCTTGGTGTCTCCTCTTGGAACTGCTCTAGTTTGTGCAAACGCCGGGTTTCGGGGCTTGGATTGCTGACATGGTACTGTACTGCTGTGGGTATGCTGCTTCGAGCTAGCAACTTTGCAGAGAGCTGCACCTGGCTGTTGAGCAGGGGTTTCTGCACCGAGCTCTGAAGCTGGTGTTGATCCCTTGCTCCCCGTGGTGATCCATGGGCTGGGGAGATTGAGATGCGGCAGCCCTCTGCAGAGCCCCCGTTGCTGCCTGCATCCTCGGAGCAGGCCGAGGGCTCACGGCCACCAGGTCAAACAAGCGGGGATGCGCTTCAGGGCCGGCAGCTGCTTCCAAGCCAAGATGGTCCCAGCACCGTGGGGAATGCCCACAGCAACGAAACTGGGTCCATCGGTGCCTGTTTGCACACTCAGGTCCCACAGCACCTTTTGAAACCGACTCTGGGTGAGCCCGTGCATTCACCAGACAGGTGATGATGGTATGTCAGCATCCACCTGAATGCTGAGGAGTGCACCCCTGTGTCACATGCAGGGAAGGACGATTTTATTGACTAAAGGTCTTTTTAAAATGCCTCCTGCTTGTTTCATCCCAATTTAATTGCAGATTACATAATCCCTTAATGATATCTAGTATTTAATGTTTGCTGTTCACAATGTAACACTAAAAAAAGAACCAGAAATATGTCTCTTTGTCATTTTTGTTTCTTCAGTACTTGTTCTCTTCCGTTTAGCTATTTATTTTTGGTCTGTCCATGGTGGCTGCGTCATCGTTACTACTTTATATTTTGTTAAAAACCCCCGAGTGACCGATTTTGCACCTCCCTAGTCTTCTGCTCCGGTTCTGCCACCCAAATACCTTTTGTTTCTTCTTTCTACACTTTTTATTTTGTTCTTTTTTTCCCCATTTTGCAGTAGGAGAGGTACATAATTTTTAAATGTCCCAGCTTACAGTTCAAGAAAGGCGTGAAGTTGAACAAGGTTTCTCTTCACTTATATTGAACATCACTGACACATTATTTCTGTGGCAGACTTTGAGTCTTTGACTTTAACCAGCTGCTGTAAATGTACAGAAGTAAACAACAGAATCTATAAACAGTTCTTCAAGACAAGAAGACTTGATTTAGTATCTTGCAAGACAAAGCAATCAATAATCTATTATGCATCTGATCACTGGCATGAATAGCCCAGCAGCCCTCTGAACAGCATTCCATCAAATGTTAAGGGCAGTTGGAGACGACAGGAAGAGGGACACAGATCACCGAGACTGCAAATGCATCGCTTGGAGTAGATCTGTAAATGCCAATATTCAAATTCAACAATCACTTCTTGCTACTAGTGAATCACGCTATTGCTCTCTGCAGATTAGTTGCTATGGCAGAAAGCTGTAGCAATGGCAGAAGGCCAAGAATCCCGCCTTTGAAATGGTAACCGAATTTAACTCTTGACTTTTCTCAGACGAGGTTCATTACTTCGTGTGACTGTGTCACATTAAATGCGCGCTTTGTCTACCCTGGGTACCAGTTTGGAAGAGATACTATTAATCACTAGGACAGTGAAGGAGGTCAGTAACAACCATTTGTCAGTAAGGATTTTTTTTTATACCTTCAAGTCCAATATGTGACAGCTGCAGTCATGTAAGAGCCTTTTTGCTTTCATTTCTTTTTATTTTTTCTTTCATTTCTTTTTTTCTTTTCTTTTTTTTTTTGCTAACTCATCTTGCTTTGGGCAAGTTATACCCAGGTCACAGCACCTGGATGCACTTAGAGCATACCTACAGTGCAGGCGTGATGGTGCAACGAGGAGGAGATCCTCTACTTTGAACAGTTGCAGCCTGGGCACAGACATGCTGCTGCTCCATTTAAGTGGCAATGTAGGCTGCTGTCTATAATATCCACCAGGACAATCAGGAGTTTAGAAGCTTCAGCAAGGAACAGGTATAAACATCAGTTGAAAAGTAATTTTGTGAATGGCAGAACTACCCACGGAGTTTAGGCACAAGCTCTTCTTTCAGCTGCCTAAAGGTAGATCTGGCTCCCTGCTTAAAGGGTAGCTGCAGGCGCGTATACTGCACTTATGCTTGCAGAGATCAATCCTTTTCCGCAGTGTAAATGGGATCTCTCACATTTAGTTATTGGGCCAGATTTGGCAATTTAGGATTACTGAGATCCAAGGAAACACCTAGATTAAACACAATCAACTATTCATGCAGTGGTGCCTCTGACATCTTTTCTTTAACATTATGAGGAGCTATTAAGAAGGACGCGCATATTGAAAGTTGACCGAGAATGGCAGAATAAACCAGAGGGCATTACTGTGAAGACAACTACCAAAGAGAATAGCGTATAGAGAAGAACTGCATCCATAGTTATAAAGATGCAGATTCACAAATTGTGACAATGATTTTTCTCCCACAAACACAACAAAGGCATAACTGTTGTGGTGGAAGAAGTCTTGAATATAGTAGGCCATGTACAAAATTCTAGTGGAGGCCGAGATGGTGACAGTAAAGTTGGAAGGGTTGCTGTATGGTATTCCTACTCCTGTCTGTACCTCTGGAGTTTTGCCCAGTCCCAAGAGTAGGTTAATAATCACATGCCTCTCTAAATTGTTCTGTAGACTGTGGAACATTTCATGTTCCACCTTCAGAAATTTCATTCTGACTTTCGAGACTTGTTTTCCTCTATTAAACAATTCCATCTTCCAGGAACAAGTTCGCAAGATAGAGTGCTCTTGCACTCTCTCACGCTTCCCTTCTCAATAGGCTTTTGACTACGTGCTCAGACCTGAAGGAGTTATTCCAGAGAAGGGAAACACAAAAGCTCTGCGCAACATGCAGTACCCTGCTAGACAGCACTTAAAAAATGACTGCAGTATCACCCATGTTGTCATCTTTTATTAACCGTGATTTTCACTGCTGCATCTCCTCTTCTCTTCTCAAGATACATTGATGGTAAAGTTTTTTTAAAAAAACAACCCTAAGCCACAGGCTCCCAATTCTTTAACAGTTTTTTTTAACAGTAATATTTCAGCTTTTTTTTTGTAGATATGCATATAGATATCATTTGATGATACACATTTTCTTGTTTAATATGGGTCCTTATATCAAGTGCAGAATATTTATTGTAACTTTGTAGACCACAGATTAAATCTTTGAAATCCAAGGATCCCTCAGGTATACCAGTGAAAAGCAGGCTTCACTGAAAAAGCAACAACCAGGAACATTTAAAATGAACCATTTATTAAATCAAACTGTTATTTTAACAGTTACATAACTTACACAGCATGTTTAAGTCAAAAGATTTCACAAGGAAAAAAAATTTAAACTTCTATTACGCAGGCAAAAATAGTACCACACAATATGTACCTGGGAGGGAAGAAGGGAAGGGGAATCTCTAAACATTCAAATAAGGCCATAATTATTTAAAAACAACAATAAAACAATAATAAAACCCCCCAAAGATCCATCTTCCTTTCGGTGTGTTCAGTGCTGCTAACTATATGTACTTTTAGTGTACAGATGTAATCGAGGCAGTGATATCTTGATAGCTAGGTTTAATGTTTTAAAACACTATCAGAAGTGGAATAAGGCTCATTAGTACATACAGCTGCCCTTGGAATGTCAATCTCAGTTGCCTTCATTAACTTAAAATTCACAAAGTGCACAGTTAAGATATGCCAAAAAATTGAAACTGCTACTCTACCAACAGCTGCCCATGCTTAATACTTAGTGGTCTATTGGAACAAAGTATGTTCTTTCAAAAAAAGATGTGTAAGAAAAGCCACTGTAAAACATTTAGTTTCAAAGATGCACTAGGAGCTTTTTGTAAACTGAAAAGTAGAAAAACATGGATTAATTATGTAAAGAAAAGAATACAAAAAACACTAGAAATGACCATCAAACTTTCAAAGAACAAGCACCACAATGGACATTAGCATTCGATTTTGCAGTGTACAGCAATGTAATGATTTTACTCTAACCAATCCACTTCATCAAATTCTGAATCATCTTCTGAATCACTGTATTCCACAGCAATGCGACGAGAAAGTATAGTAGCAACATCATTTTCAATGCGCTCATGCTTAGCTTCTTGTTCACGTTGCTCTTCAACTTTGCGTAGCTGAATACCTAAAGAACATCAAATCACAAACATGTTACTCTCCTCCTTTATCATTATACAAAGTATTTAGCTCATGATTCACAAAACTCTCTGCAAGCAAAAACGAAGGCTGAGGACATCATCCTCCTCAGACAGAAGTTCTCTGTCAAGTTTTTAACGAGAGGAATGTCAGAACTGCAATGGCAGACTAGATCATCAGTCCTTCTACTATAATATCCTGCTTCTGATTTCCCATTAAAAGCACACCACATTTTTAGTACCACTGTAAGTGATTAAAAGCCATTTTACTATTTGCATTTCCAAACCATTTTTATAATTTCTTTTCATGGTCTCAATTAAAAGTTATAGGTATTTGAGTATCCTAACAAGATAGGACTGTAACTCAGTTTTCATCATGTAATGATCTGTTTGGGGATAAAGTATTACTTAAAGATCAAACACAACGGAGAAATAACAGATACCAATAGCATGAGAAAGTTAAATCCAGTAACTTAGTTAAAAACACGACAGAAATTATATATTTTGGTTTTATACTCACGACACCACAGACCGACAGAGTCTAAATACGACCTACATCCTGTACTTGACTATGTTGTCAACTGACAGGCAACACAAGCACAGGTCCTTAGTGGAATTTCAGCTGTGGTAACTTGAGCCTTTGTTTCTTGTGTAAGACTTGGTCAAAAGCGTTTTCAGGAATCACCTAAATTATACCAGCAGGCTCTCCTTTATTAAGTTTTTTGCTGACATTCTCTACTAATGTTCATGCACCACTGCTGTACTCAAGTGGTGTTGATACTTCTTTAGAGTCAATGATGTTATCAATTCATGTGCATATAGATGCTTTAAAAATATTTTGAATTAGTATTGTAGCCTATCTACTGATATTACAGTACCATACAGATTCTGTACTGTGTTGTAGGTTCAGGGGAAAAACAGAAGAATGTAGTACTTGAAACATTTGAGAAAGATTAACTATTCACAGATACATTTGAGAAATATTAACTATTCAAAGATACCCCACAGTCAAGCAGCAGCACTCACACTGCAGTGGGGATTTTTCTGGCCATAGGCACATAAGCTGAAAGGTACAGCTTCTACATACAGCTCCTCGCTAGATCATCAGGAAAACACTGCCTTGCGCCTCTGCCTTTCACTTGCACCCTGCCAGCCGGGCACCTTGCAATGTAAAGACTGCTCCACTAGTGCGTTGAGACATGTCAAGATTAGATACTTAACAACTTTACGTCTTAAGCAACGATTTCTGAATGCCATTTATATGTTGTTGTAATACACTGATATATGATCAAAATTCCAATGCCAATTGACCTGTTCTGCTTTTATCTAACAGTCTGTGAAAAACAATGTTTTTGTCTTCTACACAAGCTGTAGGTTATCAGAAATAGCTACATTTTCAGGAAAACAGAAATGAAGAGATAATCACCACAGATCATCTATAAACACATGTACTTTTTTTTTTTTTACATCTAACTAACTTCCTGAGAGAACCAGTTTTGCCATCCAAACTAAACATCTGATAAGTGCAATTACAAATTGAAAAAAATCTGTCTACTTGGCAACGTGTACGCCGTAGAGAAGAGAAAGCAGAAACAGGCTTAAGATGCGTTCCTCTAAACGAACTTCTTACACATGTGAAATATTCCAACTCTCAAAGCAAATGTGTATTTAGCAAGTTTCTGAGACTGTTCTTTTTGCCCCTTAATAGCCAAACATTACCTTTCCGTATTGCTTCCAGCAGAACGCTCCTAGCATCACTGATTACAGGAAGAGTTGAAGGATGGCGTTTGGGTTCAGGAGCAGGAATCACTTGGGATGGTGGAGATGGAGGCATTAGCGGGGCATGAGGGCCAGGGACAATGGTTGTGGGAGGAGGGTGCAGAACAGGAGGAGGGTGAGAAAGGGCTGCAACCGTGACAGGAGAGGAGGGTCGAATGCCAGGAGGGGGCAAGGGAGGAGGTGGGGGTGGCGGGGGAAGTCCCTGTACTTCAGCTTGAGGAGGAACTGGG